ACAGTTTGTCGTGCCCACGGTGCCCGCCCAGGCTGTAGGGCGGCCTCACTTTAGCCCATCCCCAGGTTAGCTGCTCCCTGCTGGGGGCCGCCCCTCCCCCCGGAGCGTGGGGTCCTTCCCGGAGCGTCGGGTCCTCCCCGGAGCGTGGGGTCCTCCCCGCACCTCCTCCATGGCGAGCAGCGGGACGCGCGGAACCCGGGCAGGTCAACACAGGTAACGACTTGCAGCCTGGAGTGTACTCAGATGTTACAGTGTTTGAGGCAGAGGACAAATGCGTATTAAAACTGCACATAAGCGGTTTTATTGGGTTTGTCTTAGCCCCAGGTAAAGGTCATGGAGCCAGACCTGCAGGAACGCAGAGGGCCTGAAACTTTTTACCGTGTTGTGCAATTACGTAGATAGCATATTAGGCTCATGGAGGATTGTTACTTTTCTTCATTATTTGGTTACAGTCCAGGCTACGTTGACCTCTAAGAGCATCTAGCTCTCTTAGAAATAACCAGAGAGGGATCTCTCTTGGCAGGAGTCTGAATTTATCAAGCTCTTCCCGATGGCCAACCTGACTCCTTTGTGACATTGTTAAGATTCAAGTTTGGCTGAGTAGAGAGAGGAAAACTTTCAGTCCACATCCCTAGGGAAATTACTTTTTCCTCAGCCTTGGAAAGGCATCTGAAGAGGGGTATAATTTTGTTTTTTTGGTATAAAATGGATGCTTGATATTCTCTATAATATTAGGTTGTTGGTTTAGCTGCTGTAACAAGTAGAGCCTTAGTATGCAGTGTCTCAAAGAAGATAGACCTTTCTGCCTCTCTCTTTTTTTTAACTTTCCAGAGGTAGAGGTCTTAAGTCTTTAGAGGTCTGGAAGGACTGCTCAGATACTTTGGGCTCAATAATCAAAATGTATTCTTTCTTTTTTTGCATTAATCATCTTACAAAATCATTCTTGTAACTATCTTCTGTGATCTATATCTTACTCATTATCAAGGGATATTTTATTCATATGGTACCATGTTGTTGTTTCATAGTTTAGGTATTTTTGTTATTTTCTAACTGCAATTATTAGCATTATGTAAAGCCATTATAATACCATTTCTGGTTAGAAGTCAGGGGGAATGGGGCACTGAGGAATGAGTTTAAATTAGTGTGACTATAAGCCCTGGTTTGTCCAAGACAGTCCTGGTTTAGGCTTTTTGTCCCAGTGTAATTATGACTAGCATCTTTTGTATTCTCAAAAATGTCCTAGTTTGAATGATCAGTTACAATATTATGCAGCAAAGGCACATGGGTTATAATAGTGCCACCTCATAACTGTCTAGCACTTCACAGTTTTCTCTAGTGGAGTCCAAGCTGAGAAGAAAAGGAAGATCTAAAAACATGGATTTTTTATTAATTTTTGAGTTGATATAGTAGGTAAGACGTTTCAACTTAGGAATTAAAAACACACACACAAACACCTATGTTTTATTCAAAGCTTAAGGGATCTTGGCAAATTGTTTAACTTTTTGAGTCTTGATTTCTTTATTTGTAGAAAAGAAAGAATAACAGTACCTCTTTCATAGCAGTAGCTGTGGGAATTAAAGGTGATAACCTATTTGTATTAGTTTCCTATAGCTGCTGTAACAAACTACCATAAACTTGGTGACTTAAAACAGCAGACATTTACTCTCACAGTTCTGGAGGCCAGAAGTCTGAAATCAAGGTATCATCAGAGCCATGCTCCTCCTGAAATCTATAGGGAGAAACTTTTCCTGCTTTTTCCTAGCTTCTTGGTAGATTGCCAACAATCTTTGATGTTTCTTGGCTTGTAGATCCATCACTTGAATATTCCATCTCCACATGCCATTTTCTCTGGGTTTTTTTTCTCACATGCTCTTCCCTCTATGCATGTCTGTGTTTGTGTCCAACTTTCCCTTTTTATAAGGACACTAATTATATTGGAATTGGGCCCATTCTAATGACCTCATGTTGACAACATCTGCAAAGACCCAATTTCTAAATAAAGTCACATGCTGAGGTACTGGGGTTAGATCTTCCACATATCTCATTTTAGGCACACGATTCAATCCATAACACTATTTAAAAAGAATTCAGCTAGCCCAGCCGGGCATGGCTCAGCTGTTGAGCGTCGACCTAGGATCCAGGCAACCGGGGTTCAATTCCTGGTCAGGGCACATGCCTGGGTTGTGGGCTCGATCCCCAGTCGGGGGTGTGCAGGAGGCAGCCGATCAATGACTCTCTCATCATTGATGCTTCTATCTGTCTTTCTCTCTCTCCTTTCCTCTCTCTGAAATCAATAAAGATATATTTAAAAAAATAAAAAGAATTCAGCTAATTGCTTGGGACATAGTAAGTTCTCAGTAAATGTTTGCCGCTGCTATATCCAAACAGAAAAGTACTTTGTTAGGCCAGAATTGTATAATGTAGAGGGAGTTTTGGCTACACTCTACTATTTGGGTCTAAATAGCTGTTCTTCTTTCTTCCACGATGATAGAGCCTCTGATTTTTATCTGGACCACAGCCACCTAAAAGGATGAATGAAATTCACATCTTCACTTGCTGCTGGTTGTGGTTAAGTTCTGACCAAGAGAATGTAGGTAGAATGTATATCCTTAAAGAGAAGGTTAATACCTTTACTTCTCTTTTGCTTCTTACTACTAGCTGAAGCTCTATCCTGGATCAACCAACCACCTGTTGGGAACTTCATATTGAAGATAGCTGAGTAACAAGATAGAAGGTGTCTGGGTCCCTGATGGATATGCTAGATCTGGATTGTTCAGGTAATGTGAGAAGGAAAATAAACTTTCATCTCATTTAAACTACTGTTATTTGGGATTTTCTGTCATTTACAGACAAATCTAACCCTTATTAACAACTCCTATGGGTACCAAGACTGTGGTTCTAATAGTCAAAAGGATTCTAAACTATAACACCCAGCCCTTCACTCTGTGCTCTGTATAATTGTGGACTGTCTATGGGAATGAAAACGATCACACTTATATTGTTCTTGTTGGTGATGATGATTTTATTTCTTCTCTGAACTTAGCATAGTGACCCATATAATTACTGCTGCTCATTAAAGATGTACCAAGTAGAAGAAACAATCTCAAGAGAAATCAGTTAGTAAAAAGTCTTGTTGTTAAGAAAGAATGAGTTTAATGTGGCCAGAAATAAGGGCCATCAGGAGAACATTTCAGTAATGAGATTATGACTCTCATTTCCCTCTTGGGTATCTGAGAAACTGAGAAAGGCCTGGCTCATCTCCATTTGTTAATGCAACCCGAATATTGAAAAAACTAAGGAAATTATAGAAAAGTGACAAACAGTTGTGATGCAGTTTTAAATGTTTTTGTTTAACAAATTAATGCTCTGCTTTTAATTCCCAAAATATTCACATGATAATTATAGGATATATTAAAATATATTTAATCATAATGCATAACAGTGGGATGGTGTTTTAATGTTTAAAATTGATTATGGGGGACAAAATTTAATCTTTTCAATATATGTCTGTAACTGTATGTATAACTTAATTTAGACTTAAGGTCTAAATCTGCGACTCATTAGCATTAAAGTCTCAAGCCAAATGACCATTTCAACCACCTGTGACAGGCACTGCCTATCTTACAAATGTTTAGTAGACATATATTTTAAAAGATACCCAAAATACTACCAATTGAAGGTAAAGATTATCCACTCACATTTCAAGAGGATTATCCACTCATCCTCTATAAGGAAGGGGAAAAATATCCTAGGCTCCATTGCACAGCCCCACACCAGTCACATATCTGGAAGCTCATAGGTGCTAACTAGAAAAATAGTGTATGATCCACTGGGTATGCTCACTTTTTTTTTTTTAACATTACTAGTTATAAATAAAGTTTTTGTGTATAGCACTCTATTGTTTCTGAAAACAAGATATATTAACTCTGTACTTGGGAACCAACCTTTATTAAATGATGAATAACTTGAGTAAGTTACAAATTTACAAATTTAATTTGTAAACTTAACATCTTAACCTTGAATCTAAAACACGAACTATATAGGTACAAGATAGGAGTATATGGGTTATCTAAAACTCATTTCAAAACAATTTGGTGTTTTTAATTAACAATGAGTTTAAAATGATTCAACAGAGTCATTGAAAAAAGTCTACTGCAGCCTTAGGCAACAGTACTTGAAATATATTACACCGAACAAGGAAAGTGGTAATCCAGGCCATCTGTGTTGGTTATACCACACATGCATAGATTATTATTTTCAGCTATGGAAGCCACAATTTTGAAAATTTGCAGATAAACTGGGACATTTTCAGAAGAGAGGGATCAGAATAATGAAAGGTCTCCTGAATCTTTAAATAGCTGGAGGATATAAGAGTCAGGCAGTTAAGGGTTTATTCAGTATAAGAAACAGCTTTGTAATCTACCTAGAGCTATACTGGGGTAACTTGAGTGGTAAATTCGTACTGGAAATATTTAAACATAGGCATGACCACTGGGCAGGGACGTTGTATTTAGTCTTCTTGGGGATGATGAAGGATAGGAAAGGGACTGGGTGTACTTTGCTTGCAAATAAGAGAAACTTACTTGAGCTCCTTAGAAATGAGGAGGAGGAGTTGTTAGAAGTATTTATGTACTGGATCTAGGACTAGAAAACTTGGCAGGACTCC